TCGCTATTTTTTGTCTTTTTGTTTTATGTGTCTATTTCGATCAACGGTGTTTTAATTATAGACTGAGAAGGCGTCACTGAAAACAAAATGCGATCGGAGTTGCTTCATTCGCGACTTAAGCTATTTTCCTTCGGAATGTAGGGAATATTACCGTTTACGATGATACTAAAACGGATTATCTTTAGTGTCACTTATTACACAAAATATCAATACTAAGAATCTATTCATATTTATCTCAAAACATCTGTTGTTAGACGTTGCAGCCTTAAACTATTAGGAATTTTGAACAAAAAGCGTTATCTAAAACAAAACAATCGAAAAGAGGGAAGGAATAGAATTACTAACTAGTGTTTTTATAGAAACTGGAATATATCAGCGGACAACTTCACCCCACACTTTGAAACGAGAAGCAACGAAATACAAAATTATCATAACATCATAAAAATAATTACGCAAATAAAATAAAAGTTGTAGTTCTTTTCGAGTTTCAAAATTAAAAAAAAAATAAACAAATGACCGAGATAATTTCAAAAAACTCCATATTTTTCAGTAATTTATAAATATTCATAACTTTGTTTTTTGAATGCTGAGTAGCAATATAACTACTTAAAATTATGGCAACTGAAGTATGCAGTCAGCAAGATCAGTGGTTCCCAACCTTTTTCCCATGATCGCCCTCTTATACAGGTTTCACCAGTTGTGAATACTACAATCGCTTCCCCCCTCCCGAACCAATTAAATTGAAACAAATAATGAATCTATACAAAAATATATATCTATATCTATCTATATTTACATTTCGTAAAATGATAAGTGGTTATATGTGTGTAAAAGAATTGTTAATGGCTTCCTTGGGCCTGGTGTCCCTTACATAATTTCTTTATGTCTGGCTCAATGTTGGTTAACAACAACCTCAAATCCCCTCTTTCTATTATGTCGAGTCTATTTCTTAAAACCTTTCTGCACTAGATATTTTGTGGGGAATGGTAATAATAATCCAACATCCAAGGTATTTGAATCTCTGAACTCTCTGCAGCGGCTGTTGGTTTAATATCAGGTGGGTTGCGCCGATATCCACTTTACTAGTCACCATGTATTTAGTTTTATCGATATTTATCGACAGTCCCCAATTTGTGCATTCCATGTCAACTCTATTGATTAGCTCGACGATCTGCAGGAGCTAATCAATAGAGTTGACATGGAATGCACAAATTGGGGACTGTCGATAAATATCGATAAAACTAAATACATGGTGACCAGTAAAGTGGATATCGGCGCAACCCAACTGATATTAAACCAACAACCGCTGCAGAGAGTTCAGAGATTCAAATACCTTGGATGTTGGATTACCCAAACTCTAGATCCATCCTTCGAAATTCGATGTAGAATTGAACAGGCAAGAAACTCATTTCAAAAATTCAAGCCTCTATTATCCAATAACTCATTAAATTTGGAAATCCGTGAAAAGTTTACAAGATGTTACGTGTGGTCTGTACTTTTGTATGGATGTGAAACTTGGACTTTAAACGCCGATATCATGAATAAAATCGAGGCGTTTGAGATGTGGTTGTATCGAAGGATACTAAAAATTCCATGGACTAGCAGAACCAGAAACGAAGAAGTTCTTCGAAGAATGGGACATCAACGAACTCTATTAAATAGTATTAAGAGGCGTAAAGTAGAATATCGGACATATAATCAGAGGACCAAGATATGAGTTCCTTCGGCCAATTCTCAACGGTAAAATTAAAATCGAAGGAAAGAAATGGATAGGGCGGAAGAAACTCTCTTGGTTGAGGAATTTGCGGCAGTGGACAGGTTTGACAGCGGACCAATTGCTACACGTAGCGCAAGACCGAGATCAGTATAACAATATTATAAGCATGGTAGTCGCCGACGTTCCGTAGGGATATGGCACTCTAAGAAGAAGAAGAAGAAGAAGAAGGTAATAATAATAATTTGATTGCATTCCACAAGATTGGATACACTTCTTTTATCCGCGGCCAAAATCTTTCATACCCACACTCCCGAAATAAACTTTCAATTTCAACATCATGTTTCAAATCAATCAAGTTTTTTTGAAGAGAAGGACATACCGTTGAAACTTTCATACTGAAAGGATTGATAAACCAAGTATACAACCAATTGCCATTAATCCAAATGAGGGTTCTGACAGTGCAACAGAATTTGACATGTCCTAATATTTATTATTAATATTTGTGTTCATGTGTGTGACATGATCATATGATTTCTATAACGATTCATTTAAGCAATAAAACATTTTTTTTTAAATAAAATGGAGGTCTTGAAATAAAATACTGTACTTATTATTTTTACCTGGAGTCCGTCTCTGATGTTTTGTGCTAAGAACCAATAACTTTGGTTATCCATTGATGACAATGGCAATAGTAACACTAATCCTTTAACGAGGGAAAAACCAAGACGATATATTTTGAGACCAGCTATAGTACCTCTGGTTACTGTTTTACTTTCTCTTGTTTTAATGTGAAAAATTTTCAGCTTTGCGATCTTTGATTACCATAATTAAATTAAACCTCCAGAGATCGATGTTTGCCGTTCATTTGAACTTCTTCGTTGAAGTGGATATAATAATTTTAGTATTAATTAGTATCTAATGATATTATAAAGACACGTGAAATTAGAGGGAGAAAATGATATATACAATAATTAATTAAAACACTTTCTAAATGCAATTAGTGTAATTATATATTTAGATCTTTCATCGTTGAAACAAGTTTTGCAGTGGATTAGTTATTATTCGACATAAACTGTAAAATAATATTATTGTATATACGAACACAGATATTAAAGTTAATATTAAACGGTCACATTACAGAGTCACTAGATTTCAATGAAAATGCACTCGATAAAAACGAAAAAAAGGTTGATTTAAGGGAGACTTATGTCCAAAGTTGAATTACTTAAGTCTGAAGAAGAAAAAGAAGATCCCAACGCTACCTGATCATGTATCAATAAATACGCTGTATATTTCGTCTGTATTGTTGCCAAGCATACGTTGTTTACTTCTGATAGACCCGTCAAAGTCAGACTAAATATTAAATTAATATCAAAAAATATGACCAGATATAAACAAATTATGAGACCGATTATCGAATACAAGGCATGCGTCTACGCATCTCTTAACACCTACAAAACTTAACACCCTGACAAATTAGCACCATTATGGCCAGAGATCATTTGAGTGTAGTTTGAAATGAATTTATTAACAACTAACGTTAAAAAATTAATACAGCGTCAGTATAAACTCCTCCAAAGGACCCTTAAGCTAGCGGAGACACATGAGCAGAATCGAATATAACCTACAACCTACGCCATACTTTTTCACCCATTTTTAAAATTGAGAATTTTCATTGTTAGATTCGGAATCAGCGCATAGAAAAACCCCAAAGAAGCTTTTTCTAACCTTAGGCAAAAAACGTTCACAGGAATCGAATAAGTGTATAGACCATAATATCAATTAAAGTCAATTAAAAGAATTTAAGATTACACACTGATGCAAAATCGGGATTCTTCTTCTTCATGTATCATGTCCTTTCAGAACGTTTGTTACCATCACAGCTTTCTTAATTTTATTCACTGCCACCCTAAATAGCATGCTTGTATCAACACCATACCAATCTCGCAAGTTCTTCAACCATGATGGTCTTCTTCGTCCTGAACTGCGGTTGCCTGCTATTTTTCCTTGCATGAATTTTTGTAGCAACCTATATTAAGGACCTCTCATTATATGTCCGAAATACTTCAGCTTTCTCTGTTTGATGCTTTTTATGATCTCAGTAGTCTTGCTGAGACGTTCTAGTATTGTGGAGTTTCGAATCTTCTCCACCCAGGAAACTTTTAAAATTCTTCTATAGCACCACATTTCGGAAACTTTAAGGCGATTTAGATAGATTTTATTCACATTCCAGGACTCGACCCCATAAAGTAAGACCGAGAACACGTTACAATTTAATTGCTGTCCAAGGTAAACGATTTTATCAACTTGCTCAAGTTTGGTATTATTTACATACATAGACGGTTTTATATGCTGTTGTTTACTTATTATGAGTATTTTGGTTTTCCGTATGTTCAGATTCAGACCTGCCTCCCTACAACTCTCAACGACACTATCAAGTAGTGTTTGCAGATCTTCTTGACTAGAAGCTATATAGACTCTATACAGAGTCGTATGCTGCCTTGTAGTCTATAAATATGTGGTGCGTGTCTATAATGTATTCCAGTGTTTTCTCTATAATTTGTCTCAGTATTGAAATCTGATGAATTGTTGATTTACCACCTCTGAAACCAGCTTGGTATTGTCCTATTATTCGCTGTGCATATGGTGCCATACGATGGCATAGTATATTGGAGAATATTTTATACGCTGCATTTAGGAGCGTAAATTCTCTCTTATTGTCTGTGGGGGACAATGTAAGGGACTTCTGTATCCATCATTCTTTTATAAGCTGCTGTAGCGCTATTATGATATCGTGGTAACCTTCTTTATATAATTCCGCTGGGAGATTATCTATTTCGGGTGATTTGTTTCTGGCTATTTTGTTTACATCGTCTTTAACTTCCAGGATCGTTGGTGGATCCTCCTCCCTCTCGTCTGCTCCGCTTACCTCACAGCTTTCGTCTTCCGGGTTTTCTTATTCTTCCTTTATATTAAGTATCTGGTTAAAATATTCCGTCCATCGATTTAGTACATCTGTTCTTGTTGTTAATAGATCGCGATCATTGAAATCTTTGTCCACCATTATAGTGCCGAAACCAGAAAACGACCTAAACATAGACACACAAAGGTTAAACGTCATTAAATTATATTTATATCGCTGTAACTTAAGCATTTCAAAACACGAGTTGAACAAATCCATCACGTACAAATTTAACAACACTTTTCGTTTAGAAAATATATGATTGATTTACAAACTTCCATTCACACTTCCATTCAATAATATACTACATGTTTGTTTTAGGCTTCAGCCACCACCTGACTCGCGGCCGGAGTTCAAAAAGCCTCACCATCAACCCCACCATTCGAACCATCAGCGGGGCGGTTACATGAAAAATGCCGAAGGTAAGCCGCCGTACGGAGGAAGAGGCGGCTACCCAGGTCAACCTGTAAAACATGGTAGTACCAGTAGTACCACGAGTCATCGCACCAACGGGATACTCCCGGCGAAGGGGCCACCTTTGGGGCAACCGCCTACAATGTCGGTGTCATCCTCGACGTCCTCGAGGCTGCACAGCGGCATGGGGGATAGGCATGTGAGGCCACAATTGGATCAGGTGAGTCAATTTTTAATAGGTCTCTAATATAACTCAATTTAAAAATCTTTTTTGGTTTATAACGTGTATTTTTTCTCCCAATCTTTTTCGCTTAAACATTTTAATATCAGGCTATCATCTTTAGCGTCTATTACAACTGTAGGATTTATATATGCATGTTAAGTGAGCTGCAACTTCCAAGATATGGGAATTCTTAAGACGTTATGCAGTCTACCTTCATTAGAAACTGATGATAACTAAATTATGAGTTATAATATCCTATAAATTAATATTTGCAGAAAGCGCAGACGATTTTTGTCATGTACACACCACTCAATCTACACTGGGATAGTAGTTCTAAAGGCTTAGGCACACAGGATGCGATATGTCGCGGCAGACAGCAATCCAGCGATCTTTGCGGTTGTCTGCGATTTGGGGACATCACATAGGGCGTGATATCTTTGTAAGCGGTACTCTATACTGCTTTATTTTTAGAGTTTAGAGAACAAATCATGCTAGTTTTCATAGTTCTTTTATTATTTTTGTTGCAATAACAATATCGTATATAACGTTTTTATTATTATAATATGAAAATAATCATATTGTATACTTTTACAAATAAATTGGAACTGGAAGGTCAACTAATAGAACAACTGATGGAGTTTAAATATCTAGGCATCACATTATGTAGCTACGAAAAGCTCCAAACAGAAGTGGAAGATCAAGTGAATAGAGCAAACATAGCCGCAGGTTGCCTGAATGAAACAATATGGAGAAATAAAAATATCGGAAAAGAAATGAAAGGCAGAATTTACAAAACAGTCATCAGACCAATAATGACATACGCGGCAGAAACACGACCTGACACAGAGAGGACAAAGAGGATTGTAGAAACAGCAGAGATGAAAACACTTAGAGAAATTGATGGTAACACACTATAGGATTGAGCTAAAAGTACAGATGTACGACGTAGATGCAAGTTAGAGAACATCAAGGACTGTCAAAGAAATAGAATGGAAATGGAATGGAAGAATAGAATGGGGCGATCATATAAACCGAATGACAACAAATACAGTAGTAAAGACGGCAAGAGACGATCCCCAATAGGAAGACGATTAGTAGGAAGACCGCAAAAACGATTTAACGACAACTTACTGGAGGCATATTAAAAAACACAATGGATCATAAAAAGAGGAAGAGGAAGAAGACTTTTGCAGCTAAATTATTTGTGTAAACTTGAGGCATACTTTTAACATTTAGTTCTGCAGCTACCTTACTCCTTGCTTTGATCTTCTTTACCAATTTTTTTTATATTCGTGGGAAGTGTCAAAACAGATATACTAATTTTTGTACTTTTTCATTGAGTGATTCATTTTTACCAACCTGATCGCGTGATCAATCTGTAATTTTGTTCAACTGTAATTATTGGCTCGCATCAACAGATCGCGCTCTGTGGGACGAGAATAATACAATACTGTATAATAAAAGATCTCCCGTCGGCCTCGATTGGTCCTTCCGGTAGATCGCGACTTTCCATCAAACAACTTTATATTTACAATGGCAAAGCTTAACATAGATCAGAAAGGACCTGAGTGGCACTGCGAGGTACTAAGTTTAAGTAAATATTGAAGCAAGACGTCGACCCTAATCAGGTGCAGAAATCTATTCGAAAACAGCTAAATATAGGTGTAAATTATATGCCAATACCAATATCTTTCAGGTTGTACTGTGAAAAGGTCCACAAGGCTAAAAGACACCTTGATCTAGAAAGAAAATCTAGTATCAAAATAAAACAGTATGCAATTAATGCAGTTGCAATTAATTAAGTTTTCTTTATCTTTTCTGGCATACACAGTTTTTTTTTTTCTAAACCTATATCAACTTCATCTTGTTGTCTTGTGTTGTCTTTTTTCTTTTTTGCTGGAGTTGGTGTTCCGCTTTTTACGGTTTGTAGTAGGAGATGTTCGAAAGATACTGTACATCTGAAAAACAACAAAAAAAATCATAAGAATACGACAGTAGCTCACTAAAATCCTACGTCCATATGCTTAAAATATGATACTCACAAGCTTGTCTCGAAGGTGGCAACATCTGTCATATCTAGAGAAAGCTCTTGGTGCTGATCTCTGACGTCCGCTAAAATCTTCTATCTTCGGGTACAACTTTATCATTAAATGGAAAGATAACTCCCTTCTTAAATCCATTTTTGATAACTTCTCGGTTGATTGTTGTCCATACTATCCCAATCAGCTTAAAAAAAAAACTTTTTTGAGAAGTCTCCGACCAGCAAACTGTCGCTGTCACTTCACAAGTTCTTCGTCCTACATTGATTTTAAAGCTTTGAATATCGCTAAATCCAATGGCTGGAGAATGTGACTTGTATGAGCCGGTAGTTTGAGGATGATGATTTCTTCCGATCTCGCGTAATTGACCAAATCTGCTGTAAGGTGGGTTGATTGTCCGTCGTAGATAACCAGTATAGGCCGATTAGGACCAACGTTTTTTTACAAAAGTACACTTAAAATAGTTGCGAAATAAAATAGCTTCAATCCAGCCATTTTTAGTAGCGGCATAAGCAGTACTAGGGAAGGCATCATTTTCGTCGACCATCCATTCATCCCAGATATTTTTGCCTTTAAAAACGAATAATGGAAAAAAATTTTCAACAACTTTAATTTTAGAGGGTCACTCGAAAATCCTGTTTCACCTATATTGTAGATTCTCCCAGTTTTGTCAGCAAGTTCCAAAGATTGAATGTTTTCGCTCAATAACTTTACCAACAAAAGGATTCATGACTTTCTTCACCTGGTCTACCATCTTTAAATTGAGTTTTTAAGTTGTTTGATTGGACGAACTGTTGGATTAGTTCTTAAACTTCTTTACGGGACAAACCAAATCCCCATTGCTATATCGTGCGAAGACCTTGTGTTGATTTATTCATCCATCCCAATCCGTTGGATTGCCAATAGCTCTTCTTTCACCATATCGTTTTCATACTGTATTGCTGTCTCCGAAATCCACGGAATTATTTGTGCTTTTTTAAATAATTATAGTTACAGGCTATTTTTTAGTAAATGGTACGGACCATTCTGTAAAACAATTACGGATTTTTTTTTTAAACTTGCTCTATAATTTGTTTAAAGTACTCCTCAAAACAGCATTCATACCTTCGTGGTATCACCGCTTTGCATTGCCGATATGGATAATATTTTTTATATAGTATTTTTTCTTTACCATCGATTAGAATTGTTAACCAGTTTATTCCTTTTTTTTATTTGTCAATTATGTGTACAGTATTTTGCAGTCGTTTGGCTTTTAAAACATTCTACTTACGTTATCGATACCAACTGATACGTCATTTTCATAGGACTTAGAAACTAGATATAAATAAAGATGCGAAATAAAATGTTCCTTTGACATTTAAAAAAATTATCATTTCAACCGCAAAATGGCTAAATTATAAAGCGACTATTTTTATGTCTATCGATTGTTTTCCTTCTTGCTACTACTAATAGATTTCCGCTCTGGATGATCGTATCGAAATAAATAAATTTTCATACTCGTGACCTTTTGAACTAACACGAAAGCATCTGTTTTTGCATGTTAGTTAAAAGTTTCAAGTTTATGCTGTGTGTCAAGTTGTCGTATCTGTTTTTAGGAACAACACGACAACTCAGACCGTTTGTAAAAAAAACGAAACCTCCGCAACAAACAACACGATGTCACGATTTGTCCTGCGGATCTATAAGTGTGGCTGAAAACACTGAGTCGTTTTAGCATTGTTTATGTTATAAAGCATTGAGTGAGAAGTCGGTAAAATCCAAGATTGACGGTTAAAAAATTCAGCCTCCAACATATTATCGTTATACGAACATAAAGTTAAAATACTTTAAAAATAGTTTAAAATAAAAGTATAGTAAGATCTCGTTTTATGCGGTGGATATGTTCCACAGAAAAGCGCATATAAAAAAATTGCATAAAAAAGACATTACTTGCCTTGAAAAAGTAGGGATACGTCCTGTTGTCTTCTAAAATTACCTATAACCAAGACAAAAACAAAAAGTTTCCAGAAATTAAAAGAAATAGGCTGCGTGATAAATTACTTCGAATATCTGACAGAAATTCATGCAAAAGCTTAAAAAAAACTGGCACATATTTCTATTCGTTTTTGTGACTATTTATGTTTATTCATATCGTGTCGATAAACAGGAAAACATGGGAACCTGTTTATTTTACTAGTATTGTTGTTGAAAGTAAACTAATTATTTATAAACTTTATCTGTAGGTAGATGTTTTCCTAAATTGTCTTGTTCTAAAACGTGTTTAAAATAGCTTAATTCTTTAATAACCGGCTAACACAATTCGCAATATCTAAAACATGATCGTTAAATCCACCCAATTCGAGAGAAAGGACATTTACAAGGTCACATTGGTTTCAAATTATCGAAGAACACCAAATCAAATAGATCATGTCCTCATTAACGCAAGACACTCTAGTAGCATTATTAATTCGCGAAGTATGAGAATAGCTGATAGCGATAGCGATCACTTTCTGTTGAAATCTAAGTTAAGAACGCGATTATCAATACAGAAACTAGAACAAGAAAAAAAAAGAGCAATATGGAACATCGAAGCCCTACAAATATCAAAGCACCAAATAAAGAACTGGATTATCAAGTGGCAATAAGCAACATATTGCAATTGCTGTGAGAGGAAGAGCATAATGTAGAGTTAGAACAAGCTTGGCAGCAAGTGGCATCAGTTATAGAACAAGCAGCCAAGGAAACCATTGGAAAAAACGGAAATGGTTTGACAAAGCATGCGAGGAAATTCTGGAAATAAAAGAGCACACAGATGAGAACAAAGCAGATTTTAACAGAACAAGAGCACAAACAATGCGACTATTCAGAACTAAAAAGAGGAGCTATCTTGAACAGTAAATCCGGGAAATGAACAGAAGTGGCGAGAGAAATCAAATAAGGAAATTCTTTATTGAAGTGAAGTCAATCATATGAGAAACC